AAAACGGCAAAGGCTGGCAAGCTTCATCGCAAAAATGGCTGGCAATGTGAGCTCCCAGGTCCCGCCGGTACCGTCCCCTTCTTCACCAGCATCACCACCAAACATATCTCCATCTTCACCATCTGCTCCCCCTCCCCAACCAAACTTAGAACTCAATATCGCCCTGCCCCTCTGGACCTGTCCCTGGATCCCAAAAACTCTCCAGCTGCTGATAACATCTCAACAATAGACACCTCCGAACTTTCGACTCCGGCACATTCCACTTCCTCTAGTTTCGTTGAAGACTCAGGTTCTGAGACCGAAACCGAAACTGAGGACGACATGGACGACATGGACCCGGAGTTGCTTGCAGTCGCCGCCGGTTTTGATATACCTTCGGTCCCTAGCTCTCCTCGAACACCAAGGCCACCTCCGTCTTCGTCTGCAGATAGACCACTATCATACGAGCGTGGAACCGACTTTCCTGCTACGCCTACGGCTCCGGACGATGATGCCCAGATGGTCAGGGGAAGCTATGCGCAAGTGTATGGGTTCCGGTCACCTAAAAAACCATCCTCCCCGTTGGCTGCGCAAAGCTTGACATATCTTCCGTCGACACATTCGCAGGTTGAATCAAGCGTCCCACGAGGTGCCACGCCGACTTTGATGGGTGCTGCTGGCACGCAGTCTTTGATCGGTCCTGGAGACTTGCCACCGAGTGCAGGGAGCCTGAAAACACCCAGGAATAGGAAGGTTTCCATGATCAACACAACTACGGTGAATACAGCGTCTGTGTTATCATCTCCTCCGAGATCTCCTCCCTCTTCTCCTCCTCGACAGTCGATCAAAACATCCAGTAAGAGTCCGAAGAGCAAAGGTGGAAGAATGTCTGGGCTTATTTCCAGATTCACCCTTGGCTCTTCGACTTCCTTGGCTGTCTCCCCACGACCTGGCTCGCCAGAAACTGTTCCTCCCGTTCCACCACTGAAAGTCGACGAACTAGGTCAGATTTCTTCTGATCCCTTCGCCAAGGATGATTGCACCACGGTGGTGAGCTTGACAGCTACGGAAAGGACATTGTCTGCTGCATATTCTCCTGTTCGAAGCTCTTTTGTCTCCTCGGACATAATGTCGAGTGAGATCAACAGAGAAGCGACTTTTACTCGGAGGGAAAGGAGTGGAACCACTGGTACTGCTTCTTCGGCATTCAGCACATCGACCAATGACTCGACCGGTTCCTCACTTGAACGTCAATCTCTCGCTAAGAAGAAGCGCCGTTCCCTCGGGCTGACTCTTGGTACTGTGTCCATTGGTACCATTAGTAGCATGAGGTCTCCTACTATCGGGACTGCACGAGGGAAGAAGCGCAAGCTAGTAATCAATGGAGTAGAGGAGAATGATGTTCGTGCTGTTCAGGCTGTTAGAATCTGGTGCGAGAGTTTTGGAGAGGTGAAAAAGTTCGAGAGGCGGGACAACGGTAGTCTAGTTGTTGATTGGAGGAGCAAAAATGTCAACGACATGGTAATTCCTCTATTGTTCACGAGCAATGACGGTGTACTGATTCAAGGCGTTCTGTTTAGGTTTGTCGTGTGCAAGCCAATGTCTTCATTAAAGGTGCTGGAAGCGTTGCACTAAGCTGGATCCAATCATAGCCGTACTCTGCGAGCTCATTTTTTTCCTTGTTTTTTTTTTGAGTTTTTCTACATTTAACATCATTTCATTTGCATCTATCATATATTTAACTATTTTTTGCATACATAGAATTTTAACTGCTCTCCATTTCTTGCTGTCTCATGTTGTCATCATTTCTCCCTTACCCCCAGACAAACTCTTGAAATTACTGCATTGCCCTCCCGTCTGCTATTAGCGATTCTTTGATATTCCCCGTATATTTGTTTTGGGTTCTTTGATTTTGCTATCTTGCATTGGGTCTTGGGTTCTGCAGTGCACTTTTGGTGCGACTTTATTGGTTTATCTTAGACATCCTCATAGGCGCCATAGGTCAGTGCACGGATTCCTCTGACGAACACTGATTTACTCATCGTCCATAACTTTTTGTTCAGCCTTACCCTTTTTCTGTCCGAAAAAGCCCTTCATCGCCATCGTTGGGCACTCGACACAGGAAATTGCCGCATTTTGGGCATCGCATAAGCGAAACAAATCTTTCTTGGATCTACATCGACTCTGTATCATCCACTGTAACACACCACACAATCCCGCCACAGTCAATCCGATTTGGGTGACGATCCTATTAGGTCGCGGATGGATTCTCTATCTCGTCTCTCTCTCGTGTAAACTCCACATTCGTTTATCTCTCACATCAATCCGTTCAACACTCATTTTGTTTCTCTCTGCCTCTGTATCGACGCTCTTTCACTCAGTTTCCCATACTAGCCTTGGTCTTTTGTGATCATACCCCCATCCGTGTATCATCCCTTCCTGTGTTACTAGCTTTCCTTCTGCCTTCACACATTTGCGCCTCTCCTGTTTGTCATAAAATGCACTCATAGTGTAACTGTGCTTCCTTCTATCCGCCATCTACCACCCAGAACTCTCCCCCTGGAGTGAACTGTTACATTCCTTCTGTTATCTGCCTCGGACATCCACTATCGATAGTACAGTCTAATTTTGACAGTTGAATAACAACAAAATTAAAAACGTTCATTGGGAGATTGTGCTCGTCTACACTTTTAGTCCTTTCTCTGAACACTTCAACAGACTTCGGCATGCAATGTGCCAAAGTCTTCCAAGTTCCCATAAGTTCGAGGCCTTTGTGATAAATTTAGTCCAACTGCCGCCGTCGTTCAAACTGATCCTGATGATGAATACTTGCCAAGATTTATGTGGGCTCATTGAACATTCCATAAGTATTATCGACGTTTTTCATTTTGATGATCTATCGTAGTCCTAGATGGATGATAGGGTTTAACAGAACTGACTTAGCGAAGGGGACCTGAAGATGGGACAATGCATACTTACTTAGGGGCCAGCGTCCGTAGACTCTCAGCTAACTTTGGAAAACAAAAGGAGAGTCCAAAGAAGACACGGACACGGACTCACACGAATTCGCAGGACGGCACCTACACCCTACACATTGAATTTTGCACGTAAAGCTGATTCAGAATCTCGAAGCATTACCTTGCCTCCAGGCCTCTGCACTGTGAACGTGACTACATCGAACACTGGGTTACTAGTAACACCAAGTCATGGGCGTCCGTCGAACACCTGTCTTTACGAATCGCAAGGGCCCAATTCACTGCCAAAGTTTCACTGCCGTAGATCCATTCCTCTAAGCCTCATTATCCACGCCTTCACGGATATCGATTAGCTCCGAACCTCTGTGAAGTAAGTCGTGCATTGACATTGGACAGATGGTTGTCAGTACTACTAATCTTGGTCATTCAAAGTGGTAGTATACGCACTGAATCCGCCAACAGCTACCAAGTTCAAACTGTATGAACTTAGGCCGGAATCAAAATGAACGCGAAAGCACTGCTTCGGCATCCCGCATTGAGCACAGAATTCCACGACAGTAGACACTCTGCTGCAATCAGGTCGTAATCGAGGGGGAGAGGGTTCGCCTCCCTAAGAATCCTGATGTCTCAGGAGTCAGGCCGTAAAGCAAATTGCGATTCGCCGTTTTCTCTGCGATTGGTGGCTTAGGCTAGTGGTGGCTGGTGGTGATGATGGATTTAAGATTTGACCGTTGCACCCGGGAGAAGGCTAGGAAAGGTCGTACACGCACAGGCACGCATGCGACTCCATCCAGGATACCTTCAAGCAGGTGACCGAGGCTCGTGTCGTGTGCCAGTGGACTTCTGACAGGCCAACGTTTTCTGTAAGGCCGTATGGGATTCTGCTGATTCTGCCAAAAGTCCTAGTCATTGGCTAATTCGCAGTTCTGTGTATAATCTCCGCTATAATGTGGTAAAATCCAGAGACGCCTAGTAGTACTTAGTCACCGACCGTTTAGAGAAAAGAGGTCTTCGTTATGATCCTTTCCTCAATAATCAGAAAATTTTATTCCTCGTGCAATGCTGCATTGCAGGTACAGAGATGATCGTCGTCTGCAACGCGAGTTAGTGCATGAGGTGGTACTCACCTTATAACCCCACTTCTGCCCTTCTACGATTCCGATCTAACAGTGAAGCACCCTAATCCATCAAGGAAAAGAAGTCAAGGGCAGAGACCATTCGGTCCTCGGGGCTGGCGCCTCATCGGCTTGAAAGCCTGAAGAATGCATGCTGTAAGATATTCCTGAGCGCCGAAGTCGATCGAAAAACGTTGTATCGACCCCGCCCGAGAGAAATTCAAGGGTGTGATTGCGAGGAAATGAACAATGAAAGAAAGAAAGAAGAGAAAGTGATGAAAGGAAAATGATCTCATGCAATCGTCCAATCGTGCATAAGGATTATATGTATCAGAGTACATGTCCGTCCATAGGTTTGTATAAATCGATTATCGAAGATGGGGTGAAGATAGGAAATCCTTGTATTGGGGTTTTCTACATTGCGCCCTCGCTCTTGGAAATAATATACCTGCAGCATATATGCGCAATTAGCAATCATAAGAACCAACACGGAGCAAGAAAGTCCTTTACCAGGCATGAATGATTCCTGGGATATAACCCAAGATGCTTAGACAGATGTTAATCCAGAAGTCTAGATATACAAAGGACAAATGAGCTTGCTGCGAGCACATGAACACAAAAAAGCCTGACCAGCTGCACAACCTCGCTCTTTTTATGGACGATGTTAGTGACTAGAGGATTTTATTTGAAGACAAGTACTTACTTAGTAAAACGGCTACTGGAGGCAGTAATCTAGCGACAAATCATGAGTTCTGCATATGAAGGACGCAGAATATGGACTCACATAGCTAGGAAATAGAGAAAAACATCATAGTTGGAAGAAACTTTGCTAGTCATGGTAGAAAACAAAGGCAAGGAAAGCAAGAACGACCGAGAGGTCTCAAATATCAGCTACGTCATAAGATGACATCACTAGCAACGGAGAAGAAAAAGGTCCAACCAGGACTCGAACCTGGGTCATAGGAATCACATTCGTGGGTAACACAGATCAGAATCCTATGTGATAACCTCTACACTATTGGACCAGTAACCAATATACTGCCAATGTAAGCCATAATTCGTTGACAAGCAGAGAGACCCAGGTACATACATCAATGCTATTGTTACATTCAATATTCTTAGTTCGTTGGTGTTACATTGCCAAAAGGCTTTCCCTTGATATTCCCTCATCAACAGATCAGCATTGTCGTGCAAACCCAGCTTGAATCTGTGCATCCTCCGCAGTATCACCAAAGTTAGTCTTATCCGGTCGACCATGTTCTCTGTCAGCTTGGTGTGAAGCTTGACTCGAGGCGAGCAGAATTTGGCTACCAGCTTCAGCTAGTATGTAGCAGAATGTGCGCTCAGTGTCGCCTCAACAAGCCGAGAACGAATTAGGAGACTTACACATCATGGACTCGGTAATGTCGATAATGTCAGCGATCAGTCGTTCGGTCAGATCCTCGCTCAACGTTTCGCGCACTATGGTAAAGCATGAGCCCTCGAAGAAGACGTGCGACAAGGAAAGTTTAACTTACCTACGACGCGTAACATCTCAGTATCCTTTTCCCCTTCGGGTCCCTGCAAAGGCAATCAGATAAGTTGCCTTAAGCAACGAGGAAGTCAACTCTCGTACATTGTAGTTCGGTACGATCCAGCCTTTGGTCCTAAGCAAAGACTAGAACAGGAGTGACAGTGAATATTTTCATTTCCGCTCTTTCATCTCTCTTGTCGGGCTTTGGAACATACCTGAATCCAAACCTGCTGAACGTGCGGGTATTTTTCCTTGTAATCATCCGATAACCTGTACCCCAAGAAAAAGAAAAATCACGACGTCAGTGGTCAAATCCGGGCAATGTCGACACCTCCAACGCCTCGAGGCTTACTTGAATGACACAACGGGTAAGCCGGGTTCATATGATTCAGGATCGTCATCCTCGTCTCGCCCGGGTAGGACACGGTGAATGTTGCTCAGTACCTGACGGCAAGAAATGAGAGAAATAAAGTCCCAAGTGAGCAGTGAGTTGTGAGTCCGTGACCAAGATGACAAACCTTGAAGTACGTATTTTCCAATGCTCTAGAGAGCAGCCTGGCATTGCGGAGGTCCTTGATCGCGATCTTACGGTATCCTTCAAACCCCAGGTTGAGGAAATTAAACATTTGGGCAATAATAGGCGAGGCAGGCTTTGAGAAGTTGCTGTAGCTTGCTTCAGTCGATGAGAAGCCGGAGAATGAATAAGACTTACAGTGTGAATGAATACTCTACACTACCGAGGTAGTCTGGTAATGCAAGTCGTAAGTAGAAGTTCATTGGTTGGACATAGTGTTCATACGTACGCAGCTCAAAGACCAAATCCTTATTCAAAAAGGATTCATCTCGCCACAAGACCCAGCCAATCCCAGCATAAACAAGTCCGAATTTATGACCGGATGTGTTGATAGAAACCACCCTCGGGATATCGAATCCCCATTTCAGAGACGGGAACGCGAACGGTGCGACGAATGCACCGGAGGCACCATCGACGTGAATAGGAACATCCATCCAGTCTTTTCTTGAAGCTCGTCAACTAAGTAAGTAAGCAGTGATGATGAGAAACAACTTTTGCGTCGAAAGAGAAAAACAAAAACATATGATGATATCAGGTACTCACGCAGCTGGCTCATTTCCGCCACGTTCTCGAAATGGCCAGTATATGTCGAGCCCAAAATGACCATCACCCCGATCGTGTTCTCATCGATGAACTGGATTGCATCTTTTGGATCCATAACATAATTGTTGCTAGCTTTAACAGGAACGAGTCGACATTCGACGTCAAAATATCTGGTAGTAAGAGACACAAGAGATGATCAGTACATTCATCTTGAGATCTATCACGGTTGTACCGTGACAAAAGAGAAAAATCAATGTACTGACCGAGCAAATTTCTCCAGAGCGACCTGGGCGTTAGATCCGAACACGATATTGGGATGGTAGTGGTCCTTTCCGGCGGCTTTACGAGCTTCTTGCCAGCGTTTTTTCATTGCGAGACCGCCCAGCATGATTGCCTCAGATGAGCCCGCGGTGGAGGTTCCGATGACTTTGCCTACGGATGGGGCTTTCCAAAGCGAAGCAACTATTTATCATCGTAAGACACGGTATGAGTTTGGAAGATGCAGAACCGCGTACTCATCGAAATACACCGATTGTGAATGATCGTGGCAGCAGGGTATTCGTCCAAGTCCACTTGGTTCTTGTTGATGTTTTCCATGATGAGTCTGTAAGCAATCGAATCAGATCTTTCATATCTTCATCGAATGAAGGACAGATCGTTTCTATACTTATTGGCTTCCTCAGGCATCCAGGTATGCACAAATCTGTGTTCAGAAGAATTCAGGACAAACACCAAGGTTAACGCCGTTGATTACGAGCATGATGAATCAGAACGGAAAAGAAACTGACGAGGCAAGGTTCAACAAGGGGTTCCCATCAAGCTGAGTCTCATCGTGAAGCAACTGATAGGCAGCCTTGGATGGAATTCCAACTTCAGGCATAGAGTATTTCGGTACACCCTGTGCGTCTTCATCGCGACTCCAGGACTGATGAACGGATCGTCTTTCGTGAACTTGGCGGTATGATTGGGTACGAGGAGCGTCTTTGGATTTCTGGATTACTTCCTCTGCGTCGACTGTTGTGGTATAAGATCAAGATTACTAGAGATCAACGAGATCAATGAGATCGACGAAGAACTCACTATGCCTGGAGAGAGACATGGTTCAAAATGCAAGATTCTTGGGCCGCAAGGTTGACGGGAGAGGTTATTTATACCAAAACAATATTCGATGACGAACTTGAACAGCACGTAGATTACGCGGTACGCCGGTAGTAATGCGGGATCAAGGCATTAGAAAACTCAGCGACGCATCCTAAATTTGCACCATCGAATGAGTATGAAATTATTATGCGTGCTGTAGGGAGGGAGTGCAGTGGGATGGCGAAGTTGGAGATACCAAGAAATGGTATACGAAAAGACCGAGAGCGGGTAATAGAAAAGAAAGTAGAGTGGGTGTAACAACTATACTGTAAATAGTTCATGAGTTCATGAAGTCCAATATAACATATCAGTGCCAGTCAATCAATAGCGAATCCATAGCAGTCCAAGTGCAACGACGAAAATGCAAACGCAAGCCACCTCTCTTGCCCAAATACCAAAACCTCAAAGCTTCATCGCCTCATCTTCTCGTATAAGCAACTGCATTCCTGAGCAGCCCAAACCCTGATAGAAACATGACCAGAAAAGTGGCGATGACTGCAACATACGCAGGATGTGCAGCATACGATGAACTTGAGCCACTACACACCGTACAATCCCAGCCTATAAAAAGGATCAGCGGAATAATCTAGACCATAATATAAATAGAACGCACTGGCAAGCGGCGTGTAAGGCTGAGGCGTATACAACGCAAAAGTCAACGCCGTATTCGGACTCAGATATCCTGGCCTTGTCGTCGCACTCAACCCTCTCTCATCGAAGATCTGCAGAGAGTACGTAGTCTGTGCCAATGGAGTAGCTAAATGACTTTGCTGGTAATCATACGGAGTCCATATGTAGCTGGACGCTGTCCCGGGAAGACTCGTGAGGGAATATGTGAATGAATTTGCACCGACGGCGTTGACAGTGAGTGAGGTAGGTGTGGCAAGCACACCGGAAAACGACCAAGCAAAAGTAACCACCTCTCCCGATGCTATTTTGAAGAAAGACGTAGATGCTTGGGGAGGCTGGGTCATGGAGATAATGCCTGCTGGTGCAGACTGTGGGATAGAGGAGGTCTTGGATGCTGAGGACGATCCAGAGCCAGAGGATGAGGACCCGCTTTGGGAAGCGCTGTTACTGCTCGCAGAGTTCGAAGCCATGTCGTGTTATACGGCTGATGACACAGAGACTAAGGAAGTATTAAATGAGAAGAAGAGTGATAGAGTGGTATAGAGCTCTCTCCTCGTCGTCTTCTACAACGAGTTGGCGGTTGTTGTCAGCGGATGCCACGAATTCGAATCGCCGGCCAGAGGCTTCAGAGGCCCTTCATGGGAATTTTTCCACGTTTGATGACAAATCACCGGAAAGTTGCTCGGTCAAAGCTGGCCTTGCAGAATCTTCTCATCAATTTCTTAGTCTACGAAGTCCTCTCGTTGGAGAGTTGAAGTCGAGGACGACCATGATCTCTCACATGAAGATGAGGGGGTAAAAATGATTGAAAATCTCGCGCATTAAAATTGACCGGGGAAACATTGGGCAGACAATTGGTGCGATGGCTATGCTCAAACTGTAGTATGTCACAACTTTTTCAACGCTGAGATACAAAGTACAGCAAAGTACTGTACAGAGCAGCCGAAAATATTCGTAAATTGTGCGGCTTGCTGATGCATAGAATCAGTGACTTCAGGAATGGATTCAAACTGTAGACCAATGTCCCACCAATAGTCGAAATTATCCCTGAGGCAACTTCAAGTTAGTTGAATATCCGGAGAAAAACGGTAGAGTGAAGAAACGTACATAACTGCTATGGTGACTTTTTAATGGCGTTAGATGAACACTTATGAATACTCTCATTGAGACCGGCACCGGAAATGAGTCCAAAGCTTGCTGTTAACTTGAAGATTCTTCGAGTATTCTCTGCCATGTGCATCGATGGTTGTACTTACATAGCACGAACTCAGTGCTCGCTGCTGAGAGCGCCTGAATGGACATACACTTGGAGCTTTTCGCGGCGTTTCCCTAGATGGATGTTTCTGTCCACACGCACCGTTAGTTAGTCCTTCATCCATCCCTGTGTCCCTGTAGAAACTTGTGACATTTCACTGACCCGCTCATCGCCAGTGAATTCAAGTAGCCATACGATGATGCCACAGGTATAGCTCCGGTGTCAACTGCCTGGCGAATCCTTGAATTCTCTTTTAACATGCTTAACATTAATGGGGATGGTAAACCAAGGAAAAACTTACCTCAGGATAAATCATGAGCATTTCTCGCAAAACCGAAGAACGAGGATCTGTCATATCAATTCTTGGAGG